GTTGAGATAAAGACAGTTTAATAGAACAGAAAAGGGAAAATAATAATGATAATGATAGAATATACAAAATGAGTGATGCACAATGCAATTGCTCACCACCCGCGCTGACCGATAACCAGGTAGCGATCGGTACTTCCTGGATCACGCCTACCATTCATATACTAAGCATGACATCACATGGTATGGAAGACCCCGTTGGCCAGCTGGGCTGGCTGTCCTGATTACGTTCCCTCCCATCTTGTGCACCTAGCTCAGTCAGTAGGCATGGGAGCTGTCCTCGGACTAGGAGGGTACTTAGCAACAACTGAAAACATCAGTGTGTTATCAACATTCTCCTCATACTAAACCCAAAACACAGCACTAGGAAGAAATTTAACCCTATCCCAGCTGAAACCAGGACACACACCTTCAAATTTTATACTTTCCTTTTTAATCTACCTGATCTTTCACTTTTTTTCAGCTGGCAAATCAAGCATTCATACCATGACACCCATCATCTCTCCAGCTCCTCTACCCTATGTGCTTGATGGAGCTGGTCAGTCCATGGGACAGTAGTCTCTGGCCCTTGGGTTCCTGCAGCAAGGGAGACACTGCCGCAACACTATGTACATCTCTCTAGCTGCTTCCCCATGCCTGATTGAGACATATACCCCCAACAGATGACACCCCCCCCCAAAAAAGCAAGTTACCCACTGGGTGAAACTTCAGGTACTAGGTTAAAAAAAGAACTGAGACATATGAAGTTGACAGACTATCTTTAATCTCCAGAAAAAGCAGGAATTTTACTGAAGCTGTCAGGAAACTGTGCTTTGAGACTTCTTAAATTCAACTCAAGGAAAAATCAGATAGATTCAGAATGAAAATGGGAATTATACATTGTCAAAAGAACCTGAATAATGTTAGACCTTAGGAGCCAGACAAAGAGACAGGACTTCTACACCTTGTATGTCCATCCAAATCCAAAACTGTGATTCAGGAGTGCCTATTTACACACTGCAGAAATGTTGGTTGGAAAGCACCTCTAGAGATCTCTAGACCAACCTCTTGCTTGAAGAAGGACTATCATCACACTAAAGCAGGTCAGTTATGGTTTTGGCTGGCTTTGTCAAGCATCCTCAGATGTCCAGTCCTTCAGGCTTAACACACAGAGAGGGGGATCATCACCCCCACCCCATGCTGTCATAATGACTTTCCATTAAATTTAGAGCAGTACTAGCAAAATTTCTCATCTTTTCTCATCACTGGAACAGCATCTAACACTCAGATGAAGGAGGAGAGTCCTGGCTTCTGAGAACAGGCTAGGAGCAAGTTGCATCTGAGCGTAC